GTCTCTTTGCATCCATCATTCGGTGTTTGTTTCCAAATCCAATATTGTTACACCTCTCCTCGTGCTTTCTATACATCCTGGGTGACTAAGGAGGACAGAACACGACAGCAGTGACAGGAGTGATAGTATTAAAAGGATGCGTGGGCTTTACAGTACACACGACTGCTGCACGAAGAGGCCATGTGGGCGTTCTTTTGTTCCTTGCCTAGAGAGAGAAAGAGAGAGAGAAAGTGTGTGTTTGTGTGTGCGTGCATGTCAGCCTCCCTATAATTATCATTGTGTGGGAAGACTGTTTTGGTATGCTCGCGGTTGTTTCTGTATGCAAGCGTTCACCTAATATCAAGGGCCTTGATTATGAGTAAGAGTGCATGCTAGAAAGCCTTCATGTGATTGAAAGAATCTCTGAGTGTGTGCGTGTGTATGAAAGGTTGCCTTCATATCTGTTCCCTGTGTTTGTGCCAACAGGGCTTGAGAGTATGTACACTAAGGTGCATGTAAGCATTATGTCCCGATTGGTCACTCTGAAAGTTTCTGTTTCATCTCTACTTGTACCTTTCGACACCTGACTGCTGTCAGCGATGCCGCATCTTTTCACTCTCCAATCAGATCTTTGGATTACTGTGCTTGTGATAAGTGGCTTGTGAGAGCTAATACAAATCCCCTTGTTTGTAAACACTGCAACATTCCCTAAGTCGATTTTAGTCAATTACGGGCTAATGGCATTTGTGCAAGCCAGACTAGAATCACAAACGCCACTATATGCAGATTTGGAAATCTACATGCAGACACTTAGACAAACAAGCACACACACAGTTTATTAACATTATTAACTGTGCTTGGCATTTAACAGGAGCTGACATTTATAATAGCCCACAGAGAATTTAAAGACTATGACCAAAAATGGAAATGTATCCCTAATGTGAAATAGGTCCTACAATGTGAAATAGCAACACTTCCAAACAGACACATTAGAGCTTTTAAATTATGCCTGAAGCTTTCTTGTAATTGCATGTGTTTGGGTCGGATTCAAAGGCATCACTGAAAAATACCGTTAATGAAAATTCATCGCCCTAAAGCTATTAGCAGTTTCATATTTAGCTTGGTTTGGCTTGTCAGAAGAAGCTGCATGCTCTCTGGGCTCCAGTAGGTGTTTAAAACAATCACTTCTGGAGGTTAGGGTGAGGTGTGGTTCAGTTTTACAGCTCTGAGATGTACATAGTAGTTCCTTCCACAATGCTTTTAGCTTATGTTTTTGCTCTCCCTGCATGGAGCCTTCCTGCTCTCTGCACTCCTCTGTTTCTTGCTCTCTGGAGGACTAAAGGTTCACATTGGGCAGCATACTGAAGAGATTTCCCAAAATAGAGGGAGCAAAAGGGAAAAAAGGTGGCTATGGACACTCATATACCTAGGAGCACACACACAAAACACAAACACCTAGCCAAACACACAACACACGCGGGATATCGTTTAGGTTTGATCTCTTGTTGTTTCTGTCCTCTCCTCCTCTGACATCTCACCATCTATCTTTCATTGATTTCCTATTCTTTCCTTCCCAAAAGTAGGCCATCATGCTGTACTGTGATGCCTACTGCTTTGTGAGTGGAAGATTGTGTGTTACATCCACACATTTCCTTCTTATTGCAAATTCAGCAGCTTGCTCTTAAGAGCAAGTGAAGGTTTTCTAAGTGCACATTAATTCACAACCAGGAACACATGCTAGACAAGCATAGTGGGAAGTAACATCTACAACTATATACATTAAGTGTAGATACCACCTAACAAATACTCAACAGAACTGTAAAAATTAATTGCATGCATGATTTATAAACTTTAAACAAAAGGACAAGGAGCAATACAGGAGGAGGGTACAGAAGAGGAGAAAGAAAGAGCAGGAAGACAAGTAAAACAAATGGGGCAGGGTGCGAGCCATCTCTCTGGGTCAGATCGATCAACGATTGGGCAGATTGGTTACACCCAAGTTGTCTGTGCATGTCGCAAAACTTCGATATTCCACTGCTCTAGTTGCAAATGAGGTCTGCTCCCTAACAGGGAGGGGGTAGAGCAAGTGACAAAGTGGAGAGGAAGATGGAAGAAGAACGTGGAACAAGAAGGATTTCAGGGAGCTGGACACTGATAGGAGGATGAACGTTGAAGAGGTAATGGAGAAATATAAAGGCATTGGGAAAACGAGATAAAGCAGAGGAAGGATGGGTGAGCAAGTTAGATGAACTGAAGGAAGTGAGGGAGGACAGGAGGAGTAAGGAGACTGGAAGCATGGCAAAAGATGGAACAAAAATATGTCTGTGGCACGAAGGATCTGAAGGTGTGTGTGTGCATATGTATGCATAGTTAGTGGCTGCAACTAGAAGCAGAAGAGACATGGAGGGCAGCAGAGTCAGCAAGCGTTAAAAAGACAGAACTGAAAGACAGAGGTGGAGGAGGGGGAAAGGAGGGGAGAAGGTGGTGAGGTAGAGCTGTGACTGATAGCATCGTCGTACTTAGGATGCCTCAAGGGCAGACAAGACAGAGAGAAAGAAAGTGAGGGAATAAGACATAAAGAAAGAAAACACAGAAATTTACAGAACAGCCAGAGGCAGAATGGGTTATAAGATGGAAGGTGAGCAAGGATGGAGAAACAGTTGGAGCAGCACTGCAGTGAGAGGTAAATGGTGGAGGATGGATGGCAAGGAAACAAATAATACCTAGATATAGAGACAGAGAAATAAGAAGAGAGGTAGGTAAGAGCAGCACAGTGGGGAGAGGGTGAAGGTGTGAGTAGGAATGATACAGGGAGGTGGATGTGATGGCTTTGACAAGGAAGAAAAACAGACAAGAGTGAGTTATTACGAGAGTGACAAAGCAATAGTGAGAAAGACCAGGACAGGAAGAGAGTAAAGGGGGGTGAGAAGTGGCAAGTGGCAGAAAATAAAGGTCAAACGAAGGAGTGCAGTGAGAGAGCGAGAGCACGCAACAGGAGAGTGCAGGAGCATACTGACATTCTCCGTGCTGCGGGTAGAGTAAGCTGTCTGAGCAGCATGCATTAGCAAAGTACAGGGGTAAGCTGGCCAAGTCGGGATGGAGCCTCCCTGCTCGTTCTACCGCACCACCTGACGTGGCCGCAGAGTAGACACATTTTTAAGCAACATTTCAGTTTTTCTGGAGCCTTTTCACATTTTTGTATGCACGTACACCTCTGCGGGAGCTCAGGGACAGTCGACTTCCAACATCGACTGCCCTGGGGACTGGCTGCCACTGCAGGCATTTGTGACTCCGTCCCTCCCCGCCACACTCCCCCCTTCCTCTCCTGCTTTTTTCAGTTTTTTTCAAACTGAAGACACCAGACACAAGGAAATAACTGTGTTAGCATTGTTTATAGATAGTGTAGATATAAGGCTTCATTAATCCCCAAGAGAAAATTCTGGAGCTGTTGGAGTTTTATTTTTAGGTTTAGTTTGAAAAACGAGTTCCTTGTGGTCATTATAGCCCCCTAGAGAAACCAAGAGCCACTCAAGTACTTAAGAGTAAAGCAGGGAAAAGCCAAAGGAGTGTTTTCTAGCAGTTCAGTCATTGTAGCCTATTAAAGCTCTTTTGAATAGGCACAAACTTGTCTTTCTGCTCATGCTATCAAATAAAAACAATTCTCTTCTTGGTAATAGTGGCTTAACATTCCACCCAAACGTCCTGTTTGAAAAGGAAATGCATGACATTAAGGAAGTAATGACAGTCATTGGAGCCTCAAGTAATCCACATGTAATCTATTCTCATCATCTAAGAGGGATACCACTTATGTCCTTCCTTCTCTTTTGCTAGACTGTATAGGAGCTTGACATTTCAACCACTGTTTATTTTCAGTACGTACTTAAGGGCTCAAAAATGGGACGGTGTAGCCTGCCTAATACAGAGCTCTCAAATTGGAAGCAGACCAAAGCATACTATGAAGTACGGAGGAGAATGCATGATGCTGCCGGAAACCCCTGCGCTTTAGTTGACAGAGCTAGATGGTAAATGCTCTTCTAGTTTCTCACAGAAAGAACAAAGCTATAGCTCCTAATGGAAAATATTGAGCCAGCAATTGGCGTCAACCTGTAAAATCATCATGATATACGGTTATGTCTGGTCATTACTCAAAGTATTAGGTTGCATACATTATATATATCACTTTGTTATCACCATTCTCAAGCTGCTACTCCACTGCACAAGTCTCCAGATTGCTCCACATAAAAGCACACTCGCGTTTCTCCATTGATGTTAGTTTCGGTGTCTGTCTCTGACTCACTGTCTCATCCTCCGTCTCTTCTCGCTAGTCACTGCAGCTGGGACTGTTATCAACACTCCCTGTCACTCTTTCTGTATCTAGGTTGCAGTTGCTATGACAACTATTATGCATGCCAATCAGCGGCAGTGACTCATCTCTATACCTTATCACATAGCTGTGTTTAAGGATTCTTTTGCACAAAGTGTGTGGGGAGACTTTCGGCATGTCCGAGATTACAATGGGACAGGTGTTGTAATCCACTGAGCCTACTGAGACCTGCCTCATGGCTTGACCTGAGTACTGCTGTAGAATCAAAGCTGGTGACCCAATTAAATTCCCTAACCCACAGTCTTAAGAAGGTTCCTATGATGTAGCACTCTTACAGGTTTCTAGGTAACAGTTACTATGAGGACTGGCTGTGTTCAGTCTTCTGAGATGATGTTGCTAGGCAGTGAGCTGTAGTGGTGAAGAGGTACACAGGGCTGTGTGTATGTAGGAGCTACAACAAGAACGTATGTGTTGCAGGGGCATCAACCACTTTTATACTATGAAGCAGGCATTAGTGCAGAGTGGTACTCATTTAAAAAGAGGCCTTGGCCCACACGTTACAGGCTCTTGTTCAAGCTCTGTCTGGTCAGAGTAGGTGGAAGACAGAAAACCAGACACAAAAAACACTTCAGACATCTCATAAAAAAAGTGTCTGACAGTGAATGAATCTAAAAACCTTTCTCTCTCCTCCCCCTAGGTCTGTGGATAGCCAGGCGATCTACCATGCCTGTCGCCTCACCCCTCAGTCCACGCAAACAAAAACACCTGCCCCACACACACCTCCACCACAATCAAAGGGCAGAACCTTCCACCTTCCCCTCTCTTTTCCCTCAATCCATCCTCTCTCTCTCTCTTCTGCCCCCTCTCCTCATCTCATTTTTACCCACCTCATCCTACCTCATCCACTGTGCCTGCCCCAGGGCTGTGAAAAGAACCCTACCCAACTCTGTCCCTTTCCCAACATTTCACTGGCTGACTCTGGTCACATGCTGCCTGCTGCCTTCTTTGATCGGAGCAGGGGAGACGTGGGGTGTGGTCTCCGCCTGTCCCTTCCACTGTGTGTGTCGAAACCTTTCTGAATCGCTCAGCACTCTCTGTGCCGACAAGGGCCTCCTGTTTGTACCGCCGCATGTTGACCGGCGCACCGTTGAGCTGCGACTGGCTGACAACTTCATCACGGAAGTGGGTGGGAGTGACTTTGTCAACATGACTGGCTTGGTTGATTTGACTCTGTCGAGGAACACCATCCACATAATTCACCCAATGGCCTTTGCAGACCTGGAGAGTCTGCGCTCACTGCACCTGGATGGTAAGCTCAAACTGCTTAGTTGACATTATGGCAAAATATACAGATAAACTTCATGAAAGCCCTCAGTTAAAACCCCCATGTGGTATTCTTTATATTTCTTTGTCTAGGTAATCGTTTGACAACGCTTGGACCAAGGGACCTCGCAGGCTTGGTCAATCTACAACATCTCATTGTCAACAACAACCAGTTGGTTAAAGTCTCTGCCCAGGCCTTTGACGACTTCTTGCTCACACTAGAAGACCTTGACTTGTCCTACAATAACCTCAGGAGGTAATCGCATGCCTCTGTTTTGATCACATCCTTTTGTAAATTGCATTCACACAATCTACTCTGCTCTGCTTTGTTAAGCAGAAACACAGTGTAATTAGCGACGCACTGGTATCAATACTGCCCTCTGGTACTCACAAAAGTTATCTGATAAAAATGCACCAACATCAGTGTACAGCAATGTGAACATTTCAGCAGGTTTCGGTTAAGTGACGACAGCACAAGTTAAACCAACTGCAGGCTCTAATTTCCTGCTTTCTGTGTTCGTCCAGGGAGAAGGGAAGTGTTACTCTGTTTCCAGTGCTCAGGTCTCAGTCTCCAGTGTATGCTGCAGGCACAGCTCTGCTCCTAAAACTTCAGGGCACAATGGACACACCTCATACGGTTTCACAAGAGTCAGCAAACACAATAAAGAGAAACCAGGTCAAACTGCTGAGGCTGGGAGGAGAGGACTAAAAGCTCAAGAAATTGAAAGTGAATCAGTTCTGATGAGGTCCCGATTTTCTCTGACTTCAATTTCTTTAAGATTTGATGCCTGAGCTAAATGTATTCTATATGGGTCATAATTTAGAGCACTGTGTAGTGCTCCACTCATCTCCACTCATCTCTATCTAGGACAATGGAGACTTACAGCATCACTATCTATTCCTCAGGACTAAAGAGAACAATGATGATATTCTCTATCACTCCCCTGTTCCCCTGTTAGCGTCCCACTGCACTGATGAATTCTGCAACTTTTGGCTGTCACTTCTGATTAAGATGTTTCGTTTGTCTCTTTTACAGCAGCTCTCTGGCCTCTCTCCAACCTCCACAAAGGCATTAAAAAAAGTGTAAAGGCTTTTAATGATGCATACATTAAGCAACTGCTATTTGCCTTTTGTTGCAGAGGAATCTATACAGACTGAGATTCAAGGCAAAGCTGCATCACACATTTATGATCAAGGTTAAAAATCCTCAAAACTGCCAAGTGATTATGCCATAAGAGCGTTTTTTTTACAGCAGGGTAGGAGATTATTCAGATGGGGGAGGTCTGCCTGTGTAAATTAATTGTAAAAAAAAAAAATTGAGGGGTTGAGATTTGTCAAAAACTGGTTTTAGCATAGTTTTATACATGAACGCATGCTTAACTTTCTGCCATTGAGCAATGCAGCAAGGACGGGAACTACCAATTAGTCTTTATTCACTAAAAAAAAAATAATAGTCCCGACCTGGCCAGTGCTAAGCTTCTGCACTTCTAACCGGTGTTGTCTCCAGGCCTCATTAAAAGTTGAATTTCAAAGCAAGAATTAAAATGATTGCGGACAATCATTACGCTTGCTGCTTCTTTCCCCTTAGCTTCCTAATTCTCTAGACACATTCGACTGCATAAAGATGGTGAGCATCTGCTGCTTGTTGCAACCGTCAGTTTTCACAAATCTTTTCTCTCCCCTTGAAATAATTAAATAACTAATTCCATTCATTTCATTAAAACCAGTTATTTTATTTTTGAAATACTAATGTGTGATGTAGAGTGTTACAACAAATTTCTATTCTGCCAAGCACGAAGTGAACCTAAGAAACAGACAGTTACAGTATGAATGGAATAAATATAAAACAAAATGAAACCCAGAATGTAGATCCGACTATGACACCAAAATTAAAAGCATTATGTCACGTTTTTCCTATTCTCACTCGTCGGTTTGGACACATTAATCTGTCTAAAACAGTTCTTAAGTGAATGTCTGCACAAAAAAGAACACTAAATGACTCCAGAAATGGGTCACAGATGGGACTGGTACAACCCTGAGAAACAGAAGGATTGAGAAGAAAAATGAGCATCTTGTTGTTTTTTTGTCATTGTTGTTTCCATTAATTATTCTTAGCTCATTCTTGTTTGGCTGAGTAACAGAAAAATGCTCAGAACAGTGAACTCTGACTGGTCTAGTAGTGCTACAGTTATGCTTTCTAACGTAGCGGAAATGTACCGACGAGGGACAATAATTGCCTAGCAAATGGATTTGTCTCCACAGTTACCATTAAACTTCAAGAGATTCTCATTTCTCCTCTACTAAACAAGAATAAAAGGTGAACTGTGGCTCAAAATCTATTGATGAATGTTATATCAGCCTCAAACTATTCCTCTGTTTGATTGCTACAGGATACCATGGGAGTCTATTCAGAACATGGCCAGTCTGCACACTTTGAACCTAGATCACAACCTGATAGACCACATAGCTGAAGGAGTCTTCGGTGAGCTGTATAAGCTTGCAAGGCTGGATATGACCTCCAACAGGCTCCGAACCCTGCCGCCTGATCCCCTCTTTGCAAGGTAGCTCTTTAAGCTTCGTCATTTATGTGGCTTAGTGGAAATATTTTTGCAGGGCGACATTACCACAGAGCCACCAAAGTGGTTTTTAACAGGCAGTCCTGGGAGTCAACAGTGTACAGAGATTTTAACTTTTTCACTCAGTTCACTATTTAATTATCTGTATGTGACTAAAAAGGGTCTCTATTGAGCACAGCATACATTTTTAACTTTGGAAATTGTGGCTTTAAGGTCAAATCACTTCAACCATACTTCACCCATCCGCTTTACATTCTCAGCCTTTTCTTCTTTTACACAAACACCCTGCTCTATGCATTCAAAGTAAAAGTCAATCCTGATTGCTCCTATAAACAGTCTCTTAAGTCTGCCATTCTTTACTTTAGTTTGCTTTCTCCCTCTCTTTTAAGCTATTTTGATTAGAGCCACGTTGAATATGTGCAGAAAGCTTCACAAAACACTGTCATTTAAATGTACCCACCTGTGCTTTTTATCTCTATGTAGCCACTGGAGAGTATATCCAGAAACCTTTGACTGCCTCTTTCTTTTAAACTTCCATTTTTACCCCATGTTTATCCTTGTGGTTCCCATTCTCGCCCTAATATTTGTTAATCTCCTGGAAACCTGCTGCTGTCACTGCACCCTATATCAAAATTATTCAACTCTTTAAAAAAAAAAAAGAATATGAATGTACTTGTTAACCACTGCTTCATCAATACCGTTTTGCTATAGTTAAACACATTTTTCTCCTAAAAACAGATGTGCCTTAGGCCAAAAATATTATACAGCTGTTCAAGTTATTACACCCCAACTATAATAACACACCCATTTTATATATGGGGTATTATATCCTCAGTCTTTTGGAACATCTTCTAGAAACCTGTAAGCCTAACAGAGTCAGGTTTTCCTTCTTAATATTTACAAATTATTCCAATTTAGTTTGCACAAGCCAGCTGTAAAATGCTTGTAACAGCACTACCAATAAGTATTGCTCCCAAGGAAGTTTGTAACAGCCTGTTGTGGATCGTTTTCAAAATCACTTGTTTCACTCATATTAAGCAGGTCCCAGAATATCACTTGATGATGGACCTGGCATGTCAGTGTGGGGAGATTGGTCAAGAATGAAAAAAAGGTCCTCAATGACCTTTGAGTAGTTTCCACATTAAGGAAGAAGCTTAGAGCCTAATATATTATTTGTTGTGTGTTTGTAGAGACCAAAAAAAAAACAACAAAAAAAAAAAAAGAAAACAAGACATGCATTTGCAAATATAAGTTAGAAATGCTGAGCATCAGTGATACTAAATACATTAGGACTGCGAGACTATGGCCATCAACCTAATATTTGGGCACTTACTCCGCTCCACATTATATTCAGAATATTAGAGCAACAGATTTAAGGTACACCAGAGACTAGATAATGCAGTAACCTTAAACATGCTCTTACCTTCAGTTATTTAAAACAGCCCATAATGCATAATGAAACTGCAATTTGCCACTTTTTCACATTTTTGCATCTTTCACATTGCTAATGTTATACAGAATATGCACCCAGTGTAACCAATGTGGGCTGCCGTTCACAATTTGAGAGGTGCTGGATCTGGCTTGTTACGGCTCTAATTAATCCCTGCTTCTACAAAGACCTCACATTATAGGAAAGTTATTTTTGTTCCTCCTTCTCTGAATCCTTAACAGTTAAATACCAATAAAAAAAACAACTCCAATTTAGAATTTAAGTGCCAAAGGGGGAATTGCTGCAATGTTACAAACAGGGGGGAAATGACCAGGAAGCTAATCCTTGACAAGGACGGAAACATGAGTAGCTCTGCTATTTGGACTGCCATGCTCAAACTGGCTGATTAACATGTAAAGCTGGAAAGAATTAGTTTTACAGAGTTAATTCAAAATGGACTGATTTCTATCTAAATTTCAAATTGATCAAGAATACAGCATTTACATGAGCTCCATTAAGGTGTATAAATTTGTGCAAATAAACCAATTCCTTTTCTGTCACCTTTAGGTCCCAGACAGGTGCAATAAGTCCCACCCCCTACAACGCCGTCATAAGCCTAAATTTTGGAGGGAACCCACTGCACTGCAATTGCGAACTGCTATGGTTACGACGTCTTATCCGTGGAGACGATATGGAGACGTGCGCCACACCTGCTCACCTGGCTGGAAGGTAAACATCAATAGGTTACATGTCTAACATAATAAATTGAGAATCACTTGTTTATCCTAATCTTACTGCAAATCTTCTTCAGTGTTGGGGGAGCAAAGAAATACTTAAGGTTTTATGATGTGTTAAGAACTGAAAATCATCAATGTTTTCACAGTCTTGTCAAGGCCAATCTGTCCTGCAAGCTTTTTCTCCAGCCCTGTTTTAGCACATGTCTGATTAAAAGGCCTCACATTTTATAACACCTTAATTTGATCACCATATGTGTAAGAACAGAACTGGAGCAAAACTCACAGGAGCCCATAAGGATTTGTTTTAATAACAATGGTGTGTACAGCTGTAGTTATTTTGATAGTCTCCCTTTCTCCTTCCTGCATCTGTCTCCCAGATTTTTTCCACTCTCACCCTGCAGTCAGAAGTACGCAGTGAAAACAAAGGATTGAGGAGGAAAATGGGCATCTGTTGTTGTCATCTGTCACTGCTGTCACCATTAATTACTCTTTGCTCAGTCCTGTTTTCTGCAGAGTTGCATAAGAAAATTGTGTTTTATTGGATTTTACCCTTAAACTGAAACAAAAGCACATAAATCTTAAGGTTAATATATCACATTCATCTGCCAAACCAAAACAAATTCCTGTGCTTAAACAAAAAGGTGATTTCTGATCTACCTCTCTCACACTGTCTCTTGCGCTACCTTTGGATAAATCCCAATTCCCTTATTTGATTGTTCCTCACTTGACCCGGAAGTCTTTCTGGGTCAACCGAGGATGAAGGATGTTCCAGCGCTCTTACGTCTGCTCTGAAGATACGGAAGGGCATCCTATGCGGAAGTCTTTTATGGACCGACAAGTCCCTTTATTGGAAATCAGTGACTGGACACTTTAGATGTAAGATCAGAGGAATGGAAATCTTCTTTCCTCACATTTTTTTCCTTTGCATCTTACATTGGCAGGACTAGGACCTAAGAAAAAAACCTAAGTGAGGGAAATGTGAATGCAATTAAGGGGACTGGGATTTACCCTTTGTTTCATTGTCTTCCAGATATTTCTGGTCAATTCCAGAGGAGGAGTTTACTTGCGAACCACCTCTTATCACTCGTCACACCCACAAGCTGTGGGTATTGGAGGGTCAGAGAGCCACATTGAAGTGCCGTGCCATTGGCGACCCTGAGCCAGTAGTCCACTGGGTTTCACCAGATGATCGCATCATTGCGAATTCATCCCGGACCAGCTCCTTCAGCAATGGGACCTTGGATATCTTAGTAACAGTGGCCCGGGATGATGGGGCATACACATGCATTGCAATAAATGCAGCAGGTGAAGCAACTGCCATGGTTGACCTGAAAATAATACCCTTGCCTCACCGGGGTGGTGCAGGCGGAAACACAGGGAATAACAATGTGAACGCTAAGAACAACAGGAACGTGACCAATGGGATTTTACGGACTGACCCGGGCTCCTCAGATATCAGCACAGGGAAAAATGGAGGGATTAACAATGGTGTAGGACGTGGAGGCGAGGTAGAAGATGGGAAAAGAAGTGGAGGGGATGATGATGTGGGTGGCAGCGTCGTGGCCCCTGAAGGAGAGAGGACTGATGGAGGGAGCATAGAAGATGACGAGGGGGATGAGGACGAGGGGAGGATGGTTGGAGTACAAGGAGTTACATCAACATCGGCTCAGGTCCGATGGGATTTGGGGCGACTGTCTGCAGCTTATGTTGTCTGGATGTATCAGATACAGTACAACTGCACCGCTGATGATACCCTCATCTACAGGTCAGTTCAACTTTTGCTATATACACAATGAAGGCCATTCTGCATGTGATATGTAATTTTACAGTAGATTAGATACATGCCAAAGGGGTATCTGTTAATGTCGTGGAGTAACAGCTTCGCCTTTAGGTGCAACCATAGATCATTTTGATTGTCAGTGGCTTCCTCCCTCAAGAAGTGTTCATTTTGTTTTCATGCACAACAGCCGTGACACTTAACTGCATCACACTTTCTGTTCACTGTGTGCATGAGCGAGGTGGGAGGGTGGGGGTTAAATAGGGAGACAGATGAAGAGATAAGGGTCGAAGGTAGTTAATAATTTATCTCCATTACAGGATGACATTAAAGTCCAACAGGTGGATAGTCAGTGCATATAGATGACAGAACGGAAGGTCATGTGGATGTTGTAATAAAGATTTTGAGGGAGGGGAAATTTGTGTCAGTGTGCTTTGGGGCATGCAAACATCTAGAGGTACATAAATAGTGAAGCAAATATGTCTACAGCAACCATTAGTGACACACAGCATACAGTAACATGCACCAGTATTAATAGATAAGGTTAATAAAGTATAACGTTGGCAGGACATGTAATATTTACCTTTAAGTAACATTTAAACTTTCAGTAACTCGTGTCATTTTGCATTGAAAATGAGATCCCCTCACACTTCACTAAATGGTCTAAGAGACAAAAAAACATTTTATATAAACCAGTTTTGAGGTTAAGAGATAGAACATTCATCTTGTTACCACAAATTATTTAAGAAACTATCACTACACCATATCTTATTAACATGGGCTACATTTTTGGAAGAACAAAGTGAAAAACTGCCAAAGAAAGCCTTTGCAATACTACCAATCTGTTCACTGTTTCTGCAAGTCAATGAATACTGGTGCTGTAGGTCTAGAGGAAAAAAAAGAGCTACAACTGTACACATTTGTGTTTTAGTTACCTGGTGAACTTGCAAGTGATACTGCTAGAATGCACATGAATTATGCCTGCATGCTTTCAAACTTTACTGCCCCTGTAGTTTCAACCTTAGACTGATGAATCATTTATCTGTGTGATGGTTGCAACAGCACAGCCAACAGTAAAAATGGAGTGGAATAAGATGAGGAAAGAGGAGGTTAATCGGGGACCACCAACATGAAATAATATGTCAAGGGTTTTTGATTTCACTAATGTATGCCTCAAATGTGGTTTTCCTTAGGTGTTATCAACACTGTACTAAGCTGTAAGTGGTGCTGAGAAGGGGTGAGGGGAAAAACTGTAGGTGTAATCAGAAGGATTGAGGTAAAAAAAGAAAGATGGCAGCCAAGGGTGAATTGAAATTAGATGGATGGGGAGGATAAAATATTAGTTTGACTGGTGGAGAGAGCCAGAGGGGAAAAACAGGTGACTGGCGATAGGAATGAGGCCTCTTAGATTTAAGGAGGTGGAGGAAAGGGACTGAGGGAGGCCCAAATCACCATGGGAAATATTGGGATAAATGAAAATGGGTGATATGAGAAGAGACTGACAGTCACTCACAATGTGGGGGCAAGGGAGGCTATTGTGAGGCTATGAACAAACTACACCAAGGGCCCATGACTTCAGCATCACCACCATGTAATTTTATTTAGCAAACTTAACTCTTCTACAAAATCCTTCCCTCTTAGTGTGACCTGATCTAGCCAGTGATCATGGCTGTGTCAGTTTGTGTTATGTGTTATGTTAGTTTGCAAGTGCACAAGTTAGCACATAACAAGGCTGTAAAAGCAGGCTAGTAGTAGTAGAGTAGATGAGTCTTCATGTTCGACGTGATGACAGTTAATATCTGAGACAGCCTCTGTGGTTTATTTACCACAAAATGTACTAGACTTACCAACTAGCTTTTTTAAGACATATAAAAGCATTAAGAGTAATGAGTGGGCTATTTACTGGTGTATTTTATGTCACAGAGCAAAACATGAAAATGTACTAGACTTGTGTTAACCACAGACCTTACTCCAGGGGTCTAACCATAACCCCATTCAAAAAAACCATTGACTTCAGGGTTAGGGAACCGGAATAATAACAATGCTAACTCAGTTTCAGGATTTAAGACTCACTTCTATGACACTCTATAGAGTGAGAGCGAAAATGCGTGTGTGGAAGAGAGAGATGAGTGGAAGTTGGGAGGACCAGTGTAATGAATGTTAAAGAGGGAGGAGATGATGGAACCCACTGAAATTTGGAATAATGGAGAGAAATGGGGAGTAGTCCTTAAAAAACTAAACAAAAGTGAATATTGCCATGAGAGAGCAGGAAGAAGAGGAAACATAAGGCAGCATCATGGTGAAAGCCCTGCAGTACAGCAACCTACTGCTACAGATAGGTGTCCCAATGAAGTGCCACATCAAAAGTGCAGTGCAAATTCTGTACAGTCCCATGACACACGGAGACCTAATTATGTAAATGACTGAATCGAATGAACAGAATGAGATCTCATGCCTTAATTCCTCCATGGAAAATACTCTAATAATAGAGGATCTGCTTGTTATTTAATGGTATCAAGCAAAAATGTAAAACCTCTAGAAACCAAAGCTTATAGCATACACTACATCTATAAACTGAATGAGAATTAGCCAACCCTTTGATACATTTGCAATGGAAAGTGAATAGTGAACCAGATAAAAGTAGCATTTGTTGCAGGGTTGTATTGGGATGCATTCAACTGAACAGCCATTTGATACTACAAATCCCACTTACTCTGACTGAATTTATCTCTTAAAACACAAAAGGATGATATAGGTAAAATACCCTTCTCTGAGGAAAGTTTAAGATCATGAAGAGGCAGCAACAGTAGAGGCTTGGCTTGGCTATGGAGCTTAAGACAAAAAAATACTGGTAGACACGGAGAGACTCACAGAATCAAAATAGGAGAGATAAGTGAGACAGACTGAGCTGAAGCAACTGGTGTCACAGGAGAGATGTTGAAGGGGGAGTAAACAACCTGAAGTTTGACTAAATAACTAAACGAATCAAAGCGCCACAAAACACAGAGACAGGATAATTGTCTCAAAGGAGAGATAGAGATATAGTGGCTATCTTAATGGTGAAACTAAGATTTAAATTCTCTGCCAGATTAAAAGAGAGAAGACAAGAAGTGCAAGGGTTTTAAGGAAAGAAATGGGAACTCTGTCCCTGAGGATAGTGAGGAAATGGTAGCAAGTAGCATTCAAAAGGAAGCATACCACAATGGACTCATAGATTTCCAGTACAGATTCCTATCATGCTATTAATCTGCCAGTGCCAACCGCAATATCACACCAGCTAGCAAGTCTGAGGAAAGTCAACCAAAGGGAGGCTGGCTTATAATTCAAAAGGAGAGAATAGACGAGTGAGATTTCATACTTTCTATCCAGGATTTATGTTCGTATTTTGCTGCTGCTGCTGTATGTCTGCTCTGGTGGGTGAAGAGAATCCACTACCCCAGCGGAACTGAGGTTGGGGGGGAGAGAAAGGGAGGAAAACAGAGGATTTAAGAATGAAGAGGGAGAAAATAAAAAGAAAGCATCTAGTCTCCAATATATGCATACATAAACTGCAGAACAGCTGACCACATTGTGTGGCTGTCAGATTTAATCATCTTTGAAGGTCAGTTGCATGTTAGACACCAGCCACCATTTCAGCATGGCTTGTCTAATTCTGATGGCGTCTGTGACAGCGCCAGGTGGGATGTCGCCCATGTGGTGTCCTCTGGGCACCGCTCACCCTGTCACCCTTAGCTCCCTTGACACCATCAAATGGGCCTCTGTCCAGGAGCTTAGCCACAGTGCCACGCTTGGATTAAAATGTACTTAATTCTCTAATGTGAGATGGTTTTCAGATCTTCTGAAAAGTCCAGAAACAGAACACACAAGGAATTCATAAGGTTGCTGGTTTAATGTGAGCAGCTACCGAACTGATACGTCTCTTTTGGCCACATATGGGTACACAGCCTACCTAAGGGACAAAGAACAGGAGGGAAAAATGTCCCTGTGGAAATGTACCATCTGTTTGAAAAATTTGTCTTCTACTGTGGTTTTGATAAAAAAAATCTCCTTCACAGGGCCATGCAAGAAGGCACGAGCTGATCACTTTCTTTTTAAAGTAACAGAGGGGTAGGCACAATCTAAAAGCACAGTCTTATGAAACATATATCGTTTTGCTAAGGCTGTTTCAGAAACATGTTGATTCTTTGGTAATTATACTGGGAAGTGCTCGGGTAATTCTGTCTACCCTGTCACATATATAGGGTAGACAACACCACAATATACAGCCAAAGGATCGAATTATCACCTCTGCCAGTCTGAAAACCAGCTGGCATGAAGTAAAAAGTGCACAACACCAGTCAAAGCTTCAAAACAACATTTGTGCAGGGCCATTCTATTACTTGCATTGCACTGTACAGTACAGGTGTCACTGACTAACCCCTATCTAACTCTTTCATAAACAATGGCAATCTGGTCAAATGGAAGTTTTCACTATTTTATAAATCACTTGTACATAATGTATGCCTTTGGGGGCGTTTGTATGACACATGTCAGAGCCAAAAGTTTATTATCTGGTTTAGAAATCTTCAGGCAGGAGTGTAAGGACTTTGACAACTTGCACAATTTCACTCCATTCACAACAGGATCAATGTTCCTGCTGGGCACTCAAAGTGCCAAGTTTGGCACAGAAGTTAATGGGACCACAAATGATCACAGGAACAGAAAGAGAAGGAAGTTGGAGACAAAACCACACAGAGTTTAAGAAATAATGAGAATAATAGAAGCCGGGTCTCAGAAAAGGAACACATGGTTAAAAAGGACAGGGTGAGAGTCTGACAGCCATAGGAAACGGGCATGCTGAGAAATGGACATGAGAACATGGGTAATTAGTCACAAAAGGAGAAGCAGATGAAGGGATTAAAGAAACTGAATTTGGTGTATGGCAATACCAGTTATTTGCTGCTGCATATTTGATTAATACTTGACAGCACCGAACTTATCTACAAATA